TAACGAACGAAGACGCTGACGAAGATCCTAACGAAATCTAACTTGTCCCTTTCCAGATTCTCCGTAGTGCGGTACTCGCTACCACCCCCCACTTACGCCTCCCTTCTCGCCTTCCCGCCACTACTGCAGTAGCAGTCACTCAAGAACCCCGCAGACTGCCTCTGCTAAATGTCCGCTTTCCCTCCCTGTCCCAGTCTCTTCTACCTACCACTTTTTATGCATTTTGTGTTGCAATGGTTCCTCTAAATGCCTATTGCCAGGACCACGGTTGTGCTTTGTGCTCCTAGTGAATTTTATCCGGGGTTTTCAACTCGAGAACCAGAAAAGCTTAGGAGCTGAAATCTTAAGAGAACGTCCCTTGTCCAAGTACAAGCCCGCAAGTTCACGAACGCCCCTCCCACACACGGTCACGTGAAAGTTTTGGCGCAAAAATTGCTAACTTAAGAGCGACAAATATTAGGAAACCGAAATTTCATGACGGTGCTCAAAGATCTACAATTTAGCTCTCAAGTTTATCTAGGTTCTTCTGTGAAATTTTGGCTGGAAAATTACTAGCTCAGGCACTAGGAAAAACTAGAAGTCAAAATCTAAGAGGGATGTTACGCAACCCTGTGTAACGCTGAAAATTTCAGATTGAGATTTCGTATGCGCCAACAGTCTACGTAGAAATGCGAGCGCTTTGAGAGTGGGGAATTTCCCAAATACGGAACCAGACAAGGCGGGAAGAGAATGTTTTCTGCCCATGTGCGACTTCGGGAATTTTAGGTTTAGCTTCCACGTACGCCTAGATCTCCATGTGCGACTTCGGGAATTTTAAGTTTAGCTTCCACGTACGCCTAGATCTCACGTACGGAAAAATGCAATTTTTCGCCGAACAACGCAGTCCGATGAATTTCGCAAATGTTAAGCAGTAAAGTAGTGAACATTTCTAACAGCAAAAGTCAGCTAGATAGAACAGAGCAAAATCATATGCTCACAATAGCTACTCTCGTATGCATCGCTATTTATTTTTTATTGAAACAAAATTATTCTTTGTACAAGAGCAAAAAATAAGATAAATCGAATGAAGGGAATGCAAAATGAGCTCGAAGATTAAGGGTGCAAGAAATGAAGATTGGTGCTGCTGTGAAATGAATTAACTTCAGAACATCAACGAAGGCAAAACAAAACGAAATGACAAATATTCTATCAAAACGTGAAAGCTTCAGCCAAAAAAGCACAGCTCTTTGAGAGGATGGAAGACTACAACAAAAAAAGACGGGAAATCCGCGTATCCTCCGCAAATTTATATTTTTTGTGGGCATTTGATGCTCTCGGTTAGCAACCCACTAATGCTCCATAGCATTCTCGTTCTGATGACGATGATAAATCTCCATAAACGAAGCCGCAAATGCTTCCAGGTGAAAGATTGCTCGACTACCGCGAGTAAGTCGATGCTCAAAATCAGCGGCCGCAGCAATCACTTCGGCTTTGATCGAGTCATCACAGTAGTTCAACAGCTCTTGCAGCAATTTCTGAAAGCACTGAAATTTATACAGCATAATCGCGTTGAATAACGAAACCTAAAAAAGCACTGCGACCGTCATACTTTCGCGAGGTCCTGTCGCGCGGTATTGAGTTAAGGCCCGTATGACTTAACAGACCGAAACGTCTTATCTCCTTCTCTCTCATACTGTTATCTATCGTATTTCCACCAGTTAGGCTTCCAGGGTCAGTCTGGTTGCTTCAGTTTGCTAAAAAGGAAGTCTAACGGGTATCCAGGATCGAGCAAAATGGGGGAATTTCGTCGATGACAAAACAAAATATTAAAAAAAATTTCTTTTTTACACGTATTATATTACAAAATATTTTTAC